AGACTGGTTAACAATGGTGGGTCTGCGGGGAGGGAGTGAGGTTCAGGGGCTGGGGCTTGGTACACAGGTGGGGGCCAACACCACAGCCAGGGTAGCAATGCATCAGCCTACTTTCTGCTGCTATAACAAAATATGCGAGGCTGGGCACTTTGTAAAATTAAAGGTTTTATTTGGCTAGGTTTCAGAGACTGGAAGTACAGAGCATAGGCCCTTACCTGGCTCCAGATAAGGCTGTTTGGTTGGGAAAACAAGGAATAGAGGCAGAAAGGCAAAGGGCAGAATGCGGAACAGGCCAAGCAAACCGAGGGACTGTGCTTTATAACATTCTCCTGTGGAGAGTACTAATTAGGGATCCTTGAGAGCTACTTCTGAGGATGGGACTCCAGAACCCCATTCCAGGAGTTCTCATCTCTCAACTCTCTTCCCCTTCATAACACTTCGGAACTGGGGGACACATGTCTAGCACATGGAACCCGGAGGGTCATATGCAAACCACCCAGAAGGCTTTTGCCTGTGAAGGGGCTGGGCTGCGGCAGGTGGGGGGCACTTAAAAGGAACGCCCCACCCCTGCAGGTCTTCCCAGGCATCTGTGCCGCCTCTCTCCCCTACACTACCTCACCTCTCCTGGGCAGGACCAGATGCATGGCATCAACTCCAGTGTGGGCCACACTGCACTCTAGAATCTGCCTCAGCTGAACCCTCAGCCTGCTCCTCTGTCCACACAGCCCACACCACCCTAGCTGGGACCACAGGCCCCACCTCTTACCCAGAGCAGGTCCCCCAGGGGGCTCAGCCACTACACATCACATGTGGCTTTGGCACATGGACATGGAGTAAACAGGGACATGTGTCCATGGCGTTTCTGAGTTCAGAGTAGTTCAAATGTTCCCAGGAGTCACCTGCACTGCTGGGGTCCAGCTCAATGGCCGGGGCACCTGCCTAGACCTCTCCTCACAGGACAGGGACCCAGGGGCCCTCTCCTTGGCAGGGTGGGGTGTGAGCCAGGGAGGGAAGTATAATGGTTAGGGCTGTAGGAGTTCCTTTACTGGGTATCTAGACACCCCTAGCCTCGAGGCCTACGGCTTTGTCTGCTAACCAGGCCCACTGGCTAAGTGCACTAGGCATTTAGTATCCCTCCACATCCCCACAGGACACCCCTATGCTCCTCCACCCCTCACCAGATCCACCATCATCCTCCGCCCCTGACCACAGTCAAGGGACTGTACAGATGAACTGATGATGAACTGGTTTTCTCATAGGATCCACACATTCACCTACTCAGTCCTACATCCCACACCCAGCCCAGGAAGTTTCTAAATTACTGCAAGCTGAGGCCTAAAAGAGCAGACACACACACACACACACACACACACACACACACACACACACACAGGGGCAGGATGTCCCAGGCAGAGGGCACAGCGCATGCAGGGACCTGAGAGCAGGTGGCACTGGCTATCTGTGTACTTCAGCATGGCTAAAATGGGAAGTAGGCTGGTGTGGCAGGAGGCTGGGCAAAAGGGTGGCACTGGCTGTCCCCCTTTGTCAAGTTCAGCCTGCTAATGAAAGAGAACCAAACCCCCCAATTTGCCTCCTGCTTTCTGAACCCCCAAATCAGAAGCACACATGCCAAGGCAGGGGCATGCATAGGGATATCATGGGGGAGCAGCCTGGCTGTGGGGAGGGCAGAGTGCTCACCGGGCCACATTCTTATGGGCGCTGGAGGTGCAGTTGATGGCCGCATGGATCAGCAGCTGGTTGAAGACATCTCTCTATGAAATCAGTTAGGCAAGTTAAGCACTGCATTGGGGACCAGGGATGGGCCCCCAACCCAAAGGAACCACTGAGACGAACACCACCCTGAACAGCACAGCCTGGTGTCAGTGTGAAACAAGGGTACCCCTACCCCACGAGTACCCACAACACAGGAGACACCTGGCACTCCAACCTCTGGTTCCCTGTATACAGATGGCTCACCTGAGCATTGCTGCCCCCAATCTGGACAATTCGGTAGCGGATTGGCAAGAGAAGTTCTAGGGCTCGGTCAGGATTCCCATTCTCAGCTTCCACAAGGGCCTGGCACAGGGGCAGACCCACATCTTGTGCCAAATGGTGCTGGAAATTCTCCCCAGGGGACCTGTCACCAAGACCAAAGTTAAGCATCCACCTCTACAAAGTCTCACCCAGGCAAGGGACACAAAATTAGGCCCTTCCCCAGCTGCCTGATGGCATTCTGATGGGAGCAGTAAGCATCTGCCCACTGTAGGGAGAGGACAAGGCTCCCTGTTTCCAGCCTCAGTTTGCCCATCTGGAAAGGGGTGTGATATCACAGCCCTTGTGGAGAGATCAGGACTGCACACATTGTAGGCAAAGCCTGGGCACCAATAGCCAGCACTACCATGGTTACCAATGAATGTGTCTGCAGCAATCTGTCCCCAAGGGCCTCTGTCAGCCCGGAAGACACCATTTCCAACAGATAAAGGAACTGAGGCTCAGAGCAAAGAGGACACCAGCTGGACCCCTGGAAGTCAGACACCTATGAAATACATGCCTGCATGGGCACCCACCTAAGAGATACCCACCTAGAAGCATGGGTATCTTCAAAGCCTTGCTCACCAGCAAGACCTCACTCTAAGGTTTCCCCAACAAGGCAGGGTGACCCCTAGCAGGCCTTGGCACAACCCTTGCCTCCTTCACCCTCTCAGTTGGCAGGTTTCAAGGTCTCAGGACCTCACATACTTGCTGGCCTCCTGCAGGGTGGTCAGCAGCTCCTGTGTGGTCTGGAGGTCCCGTGCACCCAGGGAGGCCATCAGGAAGTGAGCGTCATTGAAAAGAAGGATGTGGTCTCGGGTATGCTTCTTTGTGACTGGGAGGACAGCCTGCCAGCGCTGGCCAAGGGACACCCCTGGGGACAAAAAGAGGACCCAAGGGCTTGATATGAAACCGCAGACATGTTCTGCACCCATGTCCCTCAGAAGCCCATCCAATGCTGTGAGATGGTCAGGAGGTGAGTGGGGCCACCAAGGCCTCTGCTTTCCTTGTTTTTCTAGAAAAGCAACACGCCCATGAGGTAAACGCAAATTTGAAAATTTGTCACACGTTATCAAACTATTCCTAGCCCCCTTTCCGACTCCCAAAAAACATATTTTAAAATTTCCCTCTGTAATCCCAAGTCTAGTACCTGTGGAGAGATGACTCAGTGGTTAAGAGCAGTGGCTGCTCTTCCAGAGGACAAGAGTTCAGTTCCCAGTACTTCCAAGGTGGCTTACAGTGTTTTATAACTGCATTTCCAGGGAACTCAATGCCCTCTTCTGACCGCCATTGGCAACAGGCACACAAACAGTCCACAGACATACATGCAGGCAAAATACTCGCATACAAAAAAATAAATAAAATTTTTACGTCTAGTACCTGATACACAATGGGTATTTAATAAAGCCAGTGGCATCAGTAACACCCTTCTCCTTAGTTTGAATTTTCTGGCTCTAGAAGTCCTCACCTCTGCCCCAGCCTCCAGCCTCCACCTCCTTTTCTTCCCTCTCAGTCCAGGAATGTTAGATTCAGCTTTCTTCTCCAGGGCATTTCCAGACACCCAGAGGGCCCTCGGCATCTATTTCTCAGCCTATCAAATTGAACAATGAGGGCCAAGTGGTGGAGGCACACGCCTTTAATCCCAGAATTTGGGGGATAGAGGCAGGTAGATCTCTGAGTTCAAGGTCAGCATGGTCTACAGCATGAGTTCTAGGACAGTCATGGCTACAGAGAGAAACCCCGTCTCAAACCACTCCCTTTCAAAAAAAAATGAACAGTGATCCTTGCCTCACAACAGTGAGGAAGTAAGAGGCCTTTCCCAGCCTGCCAACCACTCAACACCCACATCACCCCTCACACTGGGATTCTGGAGCTCTGGCCTTCCTCAGTGTCTCTCTCTGTGAGGCGTCATCTGATCCTCCAGCCATGGGCAGGAAGTCAGCCCTGTACAGCCAACTGAGAAGCCTAGGGTGACAGGCTGAGAAACCTCTGCAATGTCAGAGTTGGGAAATTATCACCTCCTGTGATCTAGGAACTCTGCAATGTCCCAATGAGTTGGGAAATTATCACCTCCTGTGATCTAGGAAAAGAGGCATCAGCCAGTAGACAGGTGGCACCTGTGCCCTGAAGGCCTGCCAGGCAGGCTATGAGAGTGGCAAGGTTCAGAGTCTAAGGCCACTACACCAAGGAGCAGTGGAGAATAGAATAAAGGGCAGCTGAGGCCAGGTCAGTTGTCTAAGACTGGCATGGAGACAGCTGCATAAGCTCGCATGCAAAGGTACAGCCAGGCCAATTCATCCCAAGGCCTGTGGTTCGGGCACTGGCCCTCAGGACCTGGAATCACACTTTCTCTCTTTGTATACGGAGAGGGAAGAGACTCAGCTACCTTCCATCTGAAGACGATAGAGCATGGAGCAGCTGTCCACCATATCCAGCATGGTACCACTGGCCTGAAGGCTGGGGAGGATCTGGAAGACAAGGGTGATGGGAGGCCAGGCTCAGAGAGTCAAATGACAGCTACAGCTGCCATCCTAGCCATGAGTGTGGCCTGAGAAAGCTCTCAGCAAACAAAAGCCATAAGCATCATCCCCAGCATCCCAGCCATCAGGAGCATCATCCTCATCATTTCTCATCTTTCAAGTATAGGACCACAGCTCCCACCAGAAGATTAAGTACTGTGGGGGCCAGAATGTATGAAGGGCACACATACACACACAGGAGTTCATTGTACTATGTACCCATGATTAGCGCTAGGCCTTGACCACTGCTACCCCCAGCCTGCGCCTAAGGCTGCTCTGGCAGGAGACACCTATCTTGTCTGGTCATGTTTCAAGATTCAACTTGGCTTACTAGGAGATCTGTCTACACCTCAGAGAACACAGTGCACATCACCTCCATTTCTTTCTAAGATGCTGATCATGACAGAGGAACTCCTCCTAGGGACCCTTGTCTTGGCAGGCATCTTTCTGGTATTCAGCCCCCCCACATCATGAGTGTCCCAAAACGTTATTACTGAGTACTCACTTGGGAGTTTTTCCTTTTAAAGACTGTCCAAGGGCTGACAGAGTGAGAGGAACAAGCAGACGCCATAACAGACTGTTCAGTCTTCTCTCAGAGATTAGGCCTCAATTTCAGTTTCCTGATAGTGAACTAGCAGTTTCAGAGGGACCCACAAACAAAGGGCAATTAATCAACACTCCTGACAGCAAGGATGAGGAGGCATAGTACATGGAGTATCAGGCCAGGCCTGAGGCACCACAGTCAGCAAGCTCAAGATGATAACCAAATAAGGACAAAGCCTGGGACTTGTCCAGGCCTGCCCCAAAATGAAAAACTGTAGCCATGACCAGCCCTTGACTAGACCTGTCCAATTAGAATGTACTAATATGATTGCCACTTGCTTAGGCCAATCATATCTAAAGTGACCTAAAAGCCCTGGAATACCCCTGGGCTATGCTTACAAGGAGCTACTGTGAGCTCCTCTCAGGGTCATCAGCATTTTGCCTTTGTGTAGAATGGTCAGTCCCAGGACACTGGAAGCTTTCTCAAGATAATAAACGCTCTTGTTGACTGCATACATGGATGGTGGTCTTTGTGGGATTTATCCAGGACCCTAACAAAAGGAGAATTTGAGTTTGGGGAGATGCCAAGCTTGTGGAAGTGGCGGGGAAGATGGGGCCCAGTGAGGTCAATATGCTAATACTGCAATGCTACATAATTTATCATCATCATCATCATTTTATGCATATGAGTGTTTTGTCAGCATGTATGTCTGTGTACCACATGTGTGCCTGATGCCCACAGGGCCCAGAAGTGGGCCTATGCTGTCCTGAGATTGGAGTTACAGGTAATTATGAGCTACTATGTGGGTGCTGGGAATTGAACCTGGGTCCTCTGAAACAATAGTCTGTACTCTTAAACATTGGCCCATCTCTCTAGCCCCACAACTTTTCTTTTTCTTCCTTTTTTAGTGGAATATTGGGGGTTGAACCTAGGATCCCAAGTATGCTAAGCAAGTGCTCTAACAATGATAGCCTCAGGCTTCTTTTTAAAACTTTTCATTCTGAGACAGTCGCACTAAGTTACCCAGGCCAGCCTTGAACTCACTTGGTAGCCCAGACAGACCTTGAGCTTGCAAACCTCCTGCCCCAGCCTCCTGATTGCAGGTCTGTTCCACCATGACTAGATTAATTTTTGTAACATAGATTTTAAAACAGTAAAAACAGACAGGGGTCTGTAGCAATGCATCAATGGTTAAGAGCACTGGCTGCTCTTCCAGAGGATCAGGGTTCATTTCTCAGCACTCACATGTGTGGTGGTTTAAATAGGTATAGTCTGCAAAGAATCATGTGTTTGAATGATTAACTCATAGAGAGTGAACTGTTAGGTGTGGCCTTGTTGGAGAAAATGTATCACTGTGGGGGCAGGCTTTGAGGTCTTACATGCTCAAGCTAGGCCTTAATGAGGCAGTCTCCTCCTGCCTTCAGATCCAAATGTAGAACTCTCTGCTACCTCTCCAGCACCATGTCTGCCTGCATGCTGCCATGTTTCCCGCCATGACAACAATGGACTAAACCTCTGAACTTTAGGCCAGTCCCAGTTGGATGTTTTCTTTTATAAGAGTTGCCATGGTCATGGTGTCTCTTCACAATAATAGAAACCCAAAGTAAGACAACATGGTAACTCACAAACCATCTATAACTCCAGGTTTAAGGGATCTGGCCCCCTGTTCTGATCTCTGCGCACATATATACATGCAGGCAAAACACATAAAATAAACAAATTCTTTGAAAAATGAAAACACACGCTGATAGGCACACACAAGTGGCCACATGGCTCAGTAAAGGCACTTGTTAGCCAAGCCTGATTTGACACCTGCAACTCACATAGTAGAAGCAGAGAAGTGACTCCTGCAAGGTGTTCTCTGACTTTCACAGACATGTCATGGCATGCATACACATACAAAATAAATAAATGGGATTTTTTTTTAAAAGATAGGGTCTCACTATGTAGCTCTGGCTGTTCTAGAACTCACTATGTAGAGCAGGCTGGCCTGAAACTCACAGAGATCACTCTGCCTCTGCCTCCTGAGTGCTGGGATCAAAAGACATGTGCCATTCACCCTGGCTCTGATTTTTTTTTTTTAAATTAAAAATAAGTGAACAAGCCAGGCAGTAGTGGCACATACCTGTAAACTCAGCACTCAGGAAACAGAGGCAGATAGATCAATGTGAGTTCAAGTTCTACAGTGCAAGTTCAGGACAGGCTCCAATGCAACACAGAGAAACCCTGTCTCAAAAGAAGAAGAAGAGGAGGAGAAGGAGAAGGAGGAGAAGGAAGAAGAGGAGGAGGAGGATAAGGAGGAGGAGGAGGAGGAGAAGGAGGAACCCATCTAAAGGACAGTGACAGTCAAAGACTGCCTTAAACATGTCAGTCTCCAAACACCACGGGTGAACATCAGCAGGGACTCCATGGTACAGACTCAGGACATGGCTCTGACAACAGCTATCCCACGAACCCTGGGGCATGCTGCCACCATTAGCTCTGGCTGGGACACACACACAGGCCACAGGCTATGAGAGACAAAAGACAACTGCAGCACCAAACCACAAACAACTTGAGTGAACTTACATGGCTGTCATAGATGGTTAGTGCAGCCTCATAGTCTCCCTGCAGAGGTGAAATTGCTGTGGTTAACATCTGGAGAAGTCAAAACGCGATGCTTGAAAATATACTAGGAATAGCTGACTAAGGAGCCCACTAAGAAAGATAGGCAGGGCTCAATGGCACCCAAAGTGGAGAAAGGAGAAGGTGAACCCAATCCTTGTGTCATGAGGGCCTCACCATGCATACATGCTTCTCTCCGGGCATCTTAGGAGCCTCCAAGTCTTTCTCTACAGTAACAGCACTGCAAGAAGCACCCTGACAAACGGGCCACTGCCCATCTCCATCATCTGTCCCCGCCCCCTCTCCTAGAATTGGTTCTGGTGCTGTAGGTCCAATCTGAGACCCTCCCTGTATCCCAGGCAGTAAAGAGGCACTGGGTTTCAAACAACCTGTGGAGGTGTGAAGGGTCCCCATAGGCTCAGATGTTTGAATACTTGGTCCCCAGTTGGTGGCACTGTTTGTGTGGGCTTAGGAGGTGTGTCCTTGCTGGAGGAAGTGTATCACTACAGGTGGGCTTTGAGAGCTTAAGGCTTCACCCTACTCTCAGTCCATGCTGCTTTGTGCCTGAATGGTGTGAGCTCTCAGCACCCAGTTCTGCACCCATGTTTGCAGCTTGCTGCCAGCTTCCTCACCATGATGGAGGCTCTAATGCCTCCGGAACCTTCAGACAAATAAACCCTTCCCTATACTACAAGTTGTCTTGGTTGCAGTGTTGTATCACAGCAACAGGAAAGTAACTAATAAGTCACAGGAGTCCCAGTTCCCAAGAGTGGAAAATGTCTTTGAGGAGCTCAGCATACAAAGCTCTTGCAATGTGAATGCAGTATTGTTTCAGCTATCATCTGTGCTGGACAGTTTTATGTCAACTTGACACAAGCTAGAGTCATCTGAGAAACCTCTATTAAGAAAACATCTCCATAAGACTGGGCTCTAAGCAAGTCTGTAGGGTGTTTTCTTAATTGATGGGGGATGGCCATTGTGTACAGTGCTATCCCTGGGCTTGCGGTCCTGGGTTCTATAAGAAAGCAGGCTGAGCAAGCCATGGTGAGCAAGCCAGTAAGCAGCACCTCTAATGGCCTCTGCATCAGCTCCTGCCTCCAGGTTCCTTCCTGCCCTGTTTGAGTTCCTTCCCTGGCTTCCTTCAGAAGGACAAATGAAGCCAAATAAATCCGATCCTCCCCAACTTGCTCTTGGTCATGGCGTCTCATCACAGCAATAGAAGCCCTAAGACACCATCTTTTGTACCAACACACGAAGGGGCTGCATGGAAGTCAGACACACGGCAGGGGCTAGGGCTTTGCTCTGAACATCTGCACTGCAGGAGACAACCACAGAGACAAGCATCCTACCTTCTCAATCAAGTACAGGGCCCAGTGCCAATAATTATGGCAAGCGAGCATATCACAATCCTGCAGAAAGAACGAGAGAAAGTCTGAGCGCCTGTGGGCTGAGCCTAAGTTCAGTTGGTATCAGTATGAACCCCTGGGTTCAATCCCCAGCACTGAATCAACTGGGTATGGTAGACCACACCTGTGATCCCAGCACACTGTGATCCAGGGAGTAGAAACAGAGGATCGGAAGTTTGACTTTGGGGTGGGGAGATGCTCACTTGGTACAATGTTGGCTGTGTAAGCATTGAAGAGCTTAGTTTGACTCTCTGCTCCTACTTAAAAGCTGGACATGATGGTGTATGCCTGTAATCACAGGGGAAGCCTGGAGGTTTTCTAGCCAGACAGTCTTGCCTAATCAGTAAGCTCCAGGGAAATCCCAGGAAAAGTGTTTTTAGGCTCCTGAAATTTTCCAGACCCAGGAGTCTGGGCAACTTTAGAATGGGATATGTTCATAAACCTCCCTGTAAACCAGCTACACCTAGAACCATGCCGGGAAATGCTGGGAATTGACCTGGCTGTCAATCACAGTTTTAGCCCATGCTCAAGAGGGATGCTGATGGCCACGGCATCCTGCAGGTCTCTGAAGCATTGAACATCTGCCACTCAGTGTCAGGTTGTGGAGGGACTTGTTTCCCCAGCTGGTGGTGCCCTTGGAGCCTGCTGTGGCACAGAAGGACAGGGCAGCAAGGGCACCTGGAGAGGTGGCCAGGTCAGGTACCAGAGGCAAGTCCAGAGAAAACAGGCACACAAGGAGGAAGAAGGACCACCAGAGCTAGTGGGGAAGGGGGAAATAGCCCCAGAGGGGTACCAGCCTGACAGAAGCAGGGATGAGTAAAGTTGGGAATTGTTAATATGGACAATGAGGCCACAGGGTATTCAAGACATGGAAAGGGTCAGGGTAGGCACTAGGGCTCTGAATCCCCCTAACTCCCATATGCTGGCTCTACATCATTGGACCATCACCCCTTTGGTCTACCTCTCTCCCACTCACAGCATCATGTGGTCCAGAAGGACACTCCATCATCCCATGGGGGAGCCTGCTGACAGCAGCAGAGATACATGCAACTCAGGGCACTAAGTATGCTCACCCTTGCTGGGCTCTGATTTCCCCAGCACCCCTTGGGTCCATTCCTTTCATAGCAAAACACCTCAGGGAGACCCCAATTGCACAATCACTTATAAAATGCTGGCAGATGTTGAGATGTTGTGGAGCTCCCAGAGGATGCTTGGCAGTCAGGGATGCCTCCAAGCTGAACCTAAGCTCCTGGAGAACTAAACCACATCTGTAAGTCCGACCCAGCAAGCCTTGATGGGATTCCGGGTATCAGACTGGATCATCCAAGTCTCAACTCCTACCTTCCAGTGGCCTTCGGTGTTCTTCATGAACTCCATGCCGTCCTTGATCTCGGCTCTC